TGGTGAAGGCTTGTTGTACTTCTATGGGTTTTGTGTCCAGGGAGATATCCCATACCCTGATACTATTTTCCTGTTTTGTTTCAGCGGCTGGGGGTGGCATATGTGTCATATGCTTGTTGTTCAATTCTGGAAGATTGATTGCACATGCAGCGTCTGCAGCTTGTTTGTCTTCAAAAATGGCAATTATTTGTTCTTCTTCTTGTTTTCCTTCCTTGCGAATTGCGAGAAGGCCTTCGAGGCTTCTCATAGCCTTTGTAATGTATTGAATCTTCTGCCAGATATTGTCTCCTGGCACCTCTGATGCTGCAATTCCAATCTTGGATCGTTGTCTACCATATTTTGTAACCCTGTCAAAGGGTGATCGTGGTCTGGGTTTCGTGCTTGTCCTTTCCGTTTTTCCTTTTCCTTTAACCGTTTGTCAAGTGTTTTGTTCTTCTTGAGTATCTTGGTCAAAGGTGAACATTTCTTCATCGCTGTCATCTATCCTTGCTGTACCATAGTTATATTGTTCTGACATACCATTCTTAGGTGCTTGTGTCGCATCAGTCTGCCCTCCTTTGATTTGTTTTTCTTCTTTGGTGGTATTTTTGAGAGGAGGTGGAGGTCTCACCCAGCTCTTCTTCCACCATTTGGCTCCATCTGTTTTCAGTCTCTGTTTATGTAGGCTTTTGTTGAGTCTTGGTTGCTTGCTGTTGCTGTTGTTGTGCCTTTGGCTTTGACGACAATGTTGAGGGGCAGGTTGGTACTTCCGTTACTGGTTTTTCTTGTTTTCTGGTGGGTTTCTGTACAGGATAGAGTGTTGTCTCTCTGCTTCTGGTGTTGTTTCTCCCCTTGGACATGTCTGCTATATTGTAGTTGGGCCTGGCGAACTGGTTGGAGCTTCTCAGGCTCCTGTTTGCACTCATTTTTTCCACTTCGCTTTGGTTTCCTTTTATGATAACTGTATGCATTTGAGAATATAATATTTTTAATCTTAAGGGAAAAGTGTATGATCATAATCATATTGATTTTATTATAAATGAGTATTGTGATGATACATTAATTTTAGTTGTCATTATTATTTTTAGAAGCATTAATATTTTTAGAATCAGAACCTTATTACTATATCAATCTTGTTCCTTTTATTATCAAACCTAGAGCTTCAAAAAGTATCAAATCAGTACTGAAGTGATATTGAAATGGTATCAATTTATAGTAAATTTAAGTATTAAACTGATATCAAAGTGGTATCTTTAGGAGCTCTAGTTAAATTCAATTGATTTATATAATTTCTTATAAGAAATCTATTAATATTTTTGCGAGAAAGCTTTATTACAATTAATTATATTGCAAATAAAAGATTTTTTGTCAGTATATTTACATTTGTATAAAATTAAATAGTTTGTTTGCTTGTTCCTTATAACCATTAGCATTTATGTCAAACAGTTTATTATCATTTTTCATTTTATAATTTTTAAATAACTTATCGATTTTAGTAAAGTTTATTATTTTTTTCAAATTATTTTTCTTAGTAACTGAATTATCGACTTGAGTTTAATTTGACATATATTCTATTTTATTAAAGACCTTTGAGTCCTTATTGGCTATATTATCAACACAATTTATACTTACGAAAGGATGGATCCTTATTTTTAGCCAATAAATTTTTTAAAAAGAATTTTGTTACTTTAAACTCTGTGATACTCAGTTGTAAGTAGCATTGTAGTATTCTTCAAATCTTCAATAAGCAGACTTATATATTTCTTTTAGTCTTTTGTAGATAAAATAACAAATGTTTTTTTAGGATTTTAGATACTTATACTTCTTCCTACATCTTGAGTAATTATATTTAATTCAATTGTATTTTTTCTTGAATATTTTATGCTTTTTATTACTTTTATTGATATTTTGCTAAAGACTTTTCTTTAACAGGTTCATTGTCTTATTTTCTTTCTCTTTAACCTTGATGTTTTTTTTTTTATTATTTTTTTTTTGCATTTTTACTTATTATCTTTAATTAATCACTCTCATAATTATTCTTATTACCTTGTAATTGTAATTGATTTAGTAGTGGAACTTGTTAAAGCATTAGAAATTCATTACTATTCTGAATATACAATATATGCATGTATATATATTTTAGATATACATTATTAACTTTGTAAAATAAACTTTTTTTTTTTTGTAATTGTAATTATAATTATAATATCATTTTAATATTTTCGATTATTGATCTGGATTGTATTCTTTTATCTTTATGTAATTTTGATAAATCATAATATTTTTTTTTCTTTTGATATTCTACCATGGCTTTTAACTCTTCTTATCATCTTTTCTTTTTCTAGTTCTATGCTTTGATATTTGATTAGCTATTTGTGAGTTTTTTCTTGTCCTTTGATAATATTAACATTTCTGGCTCTAGCTTTTAAAATCTTGCAAGTAAGTTTTATTAGTCTTTTGATTTCTTTACTATTTTTTTCTCAGATGGTTTTTTTTTTAGGTACCTAATTAAGTTTTTTTTTAACATTGTAACTCTTTGTAATCATTAGCATTATTATCAGAATCATTGTTATTATCATTGTTATCACCAATTTCTAATGTTGTTGCTATTATTTTTCCTTAATTCAATAGTTATTACTACTATTAAGTTTAAAATCTGAGCTGTAATTATATAATATATCTTTATCATTATAAAAATGTGTTAATCTGTATATTATTTGTAATTATATTGCTATACTATTGAATTGTTATTCATATATTCTTTGTACCTTGGGATTAAAATTTCAATATTATCGTATTGTTTATATACTTATTATTTTTTTATAATTTAATCTTTTTTAGAAGAAAGATTCATATATTGCTGATTCCATGATTATCATTTTTAAACTTTGCTTTCTTCAGCATAAGTTATTCCAGAGCTTTTATCATTGATTTGAACTTTTTTTAAATCAGGATAATGTTTTTTTCTTTATTCAATACATATTAGTAACCAAATTCTTCTTGCATATTGTTATTGAAGCAGAATTGGTCTTTATTTCTCCAATTATCATATATATAACATTACTTTTGTTATTTCTTGAAGATTGAACTTTCTTAAGAGCAATTTCTCAATAGTAGTAATTAAAAAATGTTTCATTTTTAGATTTTAATTATAAATTTGTATCTAATGAATAAGACATATCTCACAGTCACCACCAATTTGTCAATCTATTTAATAAATTTTAAAATTGAATAAATTAATAGACAATTGTAACAGAAAGCCACTTAAATTAGAAGAAAATAATCATAGTTGTGATATATTAGAGTTAATAAAGTAAATAAATTTGATAAGGTTTATTTACTATAAGGAAAAGAAGTATGTTAAATTGATTTAATATTTAATTAAATTTTATTGAGACATTGAAAAAAGTTAAAAGAATTTCTTGGTTAGCTAAAAAGAATAATTGTTCTATTTATATATCTTTGAATTATAAGAAAATAATATAAACAATAGTATAGATATATCAGTTTTGCTATATTTGTTGGATCCACTTGATTACTTACTATATATTAATTATACCTGGCAGAAATATTATATTTATATAATCTGCTATAATTATATAATTTATTCTATATGTTATATATAATTAATATATTGATTATAAAATATATGCTAGCTATAAGATAAAAATAGTAATTATAATAATAATATTAATAATAATAAAAGTATAAGAATAATAAAATAAACTAAACTAAAAATAGAACCAATACTATTTGCTAGTATAATTATAACAGTAAATTGGTATTTAGCTATAGTCTAGTATTGTAGATGATGTATAATATATAAATCGAGATATTCATATTAATAAGCAATTGATATCTAATACCTATTCTATTATAAAAAAATAAAATATTTTTATTTAAAAAATAATTAAATAATAATTAAATCTATATGCTTTATACAGTATATATAGATTTTATTTAAAATTATTTTATAACTAATTTTATTATTTTGAACAAATATAATTATAATTTATAAAAATGAAATAAAATTTATATCATATTTTTTTACAACCAATAATAGTTTAATATTCAATATAATTTTTTTAATATATTTCACTATTTTAAAAAAACAAGTTTTATATATTTATGATTTTATTTTTAAATTTATTATAATTATATACAGTATCATATTTTTTTCAAATTACCATAATATAAAATTTAAATGCCTTGAAATGAATTTATATAAATTATTTGAATAGATAAATTATATTAAAAAATATATTTCAAAATTTTGTTATTCTTTTTTTTTTTAATTAATTTACTGTATGTGGTAAGATAATGATAGTGATTCATGATTGTTTTATTATTGACAAATAAAATAAAAATTATCAATTTCCAGTTGCCATTCCTTTTTAAATTATAATTTAATAATATTTTAAAATTTATTTAAAAAATCTTTTTATAATTTTTTTTTATATCAGTAAAAATAACTGATAAACTTTTATATTATTAATTATTTATTTGGATTTTACTATAACAATAATAATAATAATAAATTTTATTTGTCGGAAAAACTTTGTAACAGATACGCAATATCATATAAAATTGCTTTTAAAATTGCTTGTGTAGCATAAATGTTCAATCAACTGTACTGTACCATGTCCATTCATTCATTTCATTACGTTCGTCCCTAATCAAGGGAATTTATTGTTTAGCCAGTTTTTTCGAACAAAAGGAATTAATTTGTCTTAAGAATCGCTTGATATGTGGCAATAAGTAGGTTCAATAATTTGTATGATAATAAGATCAGACCACTTGAAAGAAATGAGTACAAATTCATAATTTATCTTTCTGTCATTACATGATGCGTAATTACCGGTGCTTTTTTAACTAAACAATTTTTTAAAAAATAAGATTGCATAATTAATTCTATTTACTAAATTAGAACGTGATAGAGGATAAATAGCAAACAAACAACATTATAAAAATATATTGAACAATGATATTATATTATTAATTAAAATAATTAAGCAATAACACTATTTGGGGGGATCGGGCCAAAGATTGGTATATGCACAACCTAAAGTTTCATCGGGTGGATTCCCAATTACAGCATATATGTCATAGGCATCAGGAAATGTTGGGACCGTAAGTGTAATATCCACGCTAAATTGTGTTCCACCTTTAATTGGACA